ATGGAGGAGGTAGACAAATTCTTGGATGCATATAACCAAGATTGAATCAGGAGGACATAGGCCATCTGAATAGACCCATAACAAGCCATAAGATTAAATTAGTAATAAATAACCTCCCAACAAAGAAAAGTCCAGGTCCTGATGGCTTAACTTCTGAATTCACAGAACTTTTAAGGAAGAGTTAACCCCCATTTTACTCAAATTATTTCTAAAGATCCAAAAGGAAGGAAACCTCCCAAATTCATTTTATGAAGCCTTCATCATCCTCATCCCCAAAACAGATAAAGACATGACCAAAAAGGAAAACTACAGACCAATATCTCTGATGAACATAGATGCAAAAATTCTCAACAAGATACTTTCAAATCATATCCAACAACATATAAAAAAGATTATTCATCATGATCAGGTAGGCTTTATTCCAGGGATGCACAAGTGGTTCAACATACGCAAGACCATAAATATAATGCACCATATTAACAGAAAGAAAGATAAAGACCATATGATCATTTCAGTTGGTGCAGAGAAAGCATTGGATAAAATACAACATCTCTCCATGGTTAAGACTCTCAGCAAGATTGATATAGAAGCGTCATTTCTCAACACAATAAAAGCCATATGAAGAACCTATAGCTAACATTATACTGAATGGGGAAAAGGTAAAAGCTTTTCCACTAAAAACTGGTACTAGACAAGGCTGCCCACTTTCTCCACTGCTATTTAATATAGTGCTGGAAGTCTTAGCCAATGCAATTAGAAAAGAGAATACTATAAAAGGCATTCAAATAGGCAAAGAAGAGTTAACAATATCTTTATTTGCAGATGACATGATGGTATATTTAGAAGACTCAAAGGTTTCCATGAAAAAACTTCTCAAAATAATAAATGAATACAGTAAAGTGGCAGGATACAAAATCAACATCCAAAAATCTATAGCATTTCTATATACAAACAAGTTAAACGAAGTGGAGCTGAAGAAAGGACTCCCTTTTACATAGCCACAAGAAGTATAAGATACCTAGGGATAAACCTGACTAAGGAAGTCAAAGACCTTTACAAAGAAAACTATGAAAACCTTAAAAAAGATATAGAAAAGGACACAAAAAAGTGGAAGGACATCCCATGTTTCTGGATTGGAAGAATTAATAAAATCAACAAGGCAATTCTACCCAAATTAATCTACATATTTAACACAATTTCAATCAAAATACCAGAGACATTCTTCACAGATCTAGGAAAGACAATCATAGAATTTGTCTGGAATCATAAAGACCTCATATTGTCAAAGCAATCCTGCACAAGAAGAGTGGAGTGGGTGGTATATCACTCTGTGACCCCAAAATATACTATAACGCTGTAATAGTCAAAACAGCATGGCAGAAAGACAGGTAGACCAATCAAATAGAATAGACCCCAGAAATAAACCCCAAGGCTTACAGCCAGTTGATTTTTGACAAAGGATACCAGTCAATCTAGTGGGAAAAGGAAAACCTCTTTAGCAAATGGTGCTGAAGAAACTGCATCTTACCACCTGCAGAAAGATGAAATTGAATCCCCATCTTTCACCATTAACAAAATAAACTCAAAATGGATCAAAGATCTGAACCTAAGACCTCAAACTATAAAACTACCAGTGGTAAACACTGGGGAAACTGGGAGACACTGGGTTAGGCAAAGACTTCTTGAATAAGACCCTTAAAGCACAGGTAATAATCCCTAAAATAGACAAGTGGGACTATGTCAATTAAGAAGTTTCTGCACAGAAAGGACACAGTAATTAGTGTGAATCAACAACCTCAGAGTGGGAGAATATTTTTGTAAAAATATGCCTCAGATAAGGGACCAATAACCAGAATACACAGGGAACTCAAGCAACTATTCTGAAAAAAGATGATCAACCCTATTAAAAGATGGGAGAATGAGTTGAAAAAAACACTCTCTAAGGACGGGACATACGAATTGCCAAAAGGCATATCAAAAAAATGTTCAACATCCCTCATTGTAAGGGAAGTGCAGATCAAAACAACAATGAGATACCACCTAATCCCATTCAGAATGACTAAGATTAAAAATACAAAATGTCCTAAGTGTTGACATGGTTGTGGTGAAAGGGGAACTCTCCTGAACTGTTAGTGGGAATGTAAATTGGTCCAGCCAGTATGGAAAACAATATGGAGGTTCCTCAAAGATCTACAAATACAACTACCATTTGATCCAGCAATAACACTTTTGGATGTCTACCCAAAGGACAGGAGAATGCTCAGTTGGAAAAACGCTTGCACATCAATGTTTATTGCACATTATTCACAATTGCTAAGACATGGAACCAACCCAAATATCCACAAACAGATGAATAGATTGGAAAAGTATGGCACATGTACTCCATGGAATACTATTCAGCCATTAAAAACAAAAACAAAAACAAAAAAACACCAAGATTGGGAACCAGCAGTTAGCGTAATGGCTATGTCGCTGGACTCCCACGTAGTCGACTGCGGTTCACGTCCCGGACCCGGTGGCTTAAAATTCACACCGGGCGCGTGTGCATGCGTGCCCAAGATCCCGAGAGGAGAATGGAGGAGAAGGGATTGCGGCGTGACCATCCCCCCTGGGGGGT